CATCATCACACAAATACCTATGAGGTAGCCATATTCCCGCCATATTGGTGACAGTTTTATAATGTTCCCATTACAGACAGAACGGGGAAAAAAAAAAAAAAAAAAAAAAAAGACAGGCAAAAGACAACCAAGCAGAGAGGCTGGAGTGTAGTGCATTTGGGAAACTGAAACATGTGGGGAGTCGTTCAGACAATTTAGCACAAAATGTGAGGCTTCACTCTCGTGGAGGACATAATGTGCTACAACAATAATGTACTGGAATGCCCCTGCACCGTACATGCAAGCTGCACCCAGCATCGCCCTTCTGCCTCGTCCTGGGTAGGCAAGGTGTGGTGAAAGTACTGGGGGCTGGGATTATTCTGCTCAGCACGAACTACTGCTTTCAAATATTGAGGGGAGGGAATAATGCCATGTTTGTGTTCAGCTTGCAATGTGAGAAAATTGACTGTTTTTTTTTGTTTTGTTTTTTATCCGTTTTCTCACCTCACAAGCCCCCCCTACCTCAACAGTTCTCCCATGTGCACCCCCTACTCTCCCATGTAAAGCCACTACCTTCTGTTAGCCCAGCCTTTTAAAAAACGCTCACTAGTTGACATGGGTCCTCATACTGGAGGGAGGGGTAAATTTGCAAGAATCTCACAAACAGAAATTTCAAATTAGGCATGCACTGCCCCTCACAGGACATCCATCAAATTTCGAACGATACAGAGAAGATAGATTAGCGTGGTGCAAGGATGACACACGTAACTTTAAAAATGGTGCAAAAAAAAAAAGAAAAAGGCACACACCAAACGGGTTTAACAGACATGTACAGAACACAGCCCCATTCTTGGCGGGAAAAAATGCGCAAGAAACTCTTCACACGTTCCGGGACTAACCAGGTGGTGCTCTAACCACCCCTGCGTTAGTGATGGCTTTTTTATTTTTTTTAATTTTTTTTTAATTTTAAGCGCAAGTATCTATTCAGAAGTGTCCTTTGGGACATCCTTTAAAATTGGAACGATACAGAGAAGATGAGCATGGCCCCTGCACAAGGATGACACATATAAATCGAGAAATGGTCCAAATTTGAACCCTAAAACCCTAAACCCTGAACCCTAAACCTCTTCAGAAGTTCACAACAGCAGCAATTGGTTAGAAGTTAGAACTTATTACTCATATTGAATATTCTTCGGGGAAAGGAAAAAAAAGACAAAAAAAAAAAAACTCGGAGGAGGTACCTTGCCAGCCTGTAGCTTGAGGGGTAACCTCCCCATCTCCAGGTCTGCCAACCTATTGCTCAAAGGCGCCATCTCCAGCTACTCGTGGAGAGCTGCACCTGCCTGCAACCAGGGTAGGCATTCCTTTTGCAGTACACTTGACCAATTGCAAACTGAACATAAACTACTGTCTTCACCCGAATAGAACGCCCGGTCATTATAGCTGTATTTGGTGTAACTTTCAGTCCGGATACGGCAATAATGACCAGGTGTTCTATTCGGGTGAAGACTGTAGTCCTCTTCCGCTCAATCACTGCCTTCCAGAAAAAAGTGGAACCCAGTTCTTAAAAAGAAAAACAAAAAACCGAGCGATGGTCTTGAGGTATCATCTCGTCGGCAAACTGACCACAGTCCCATTCATATTCACAATTCCCATTCATCTAAGTAGTAAGTTCCATAATTCCATTCAGATTCGAACACAGGTCTGTTGTTCAACAGTTCATCATGGGATAAACAACTGAGCAAGGTCCGCTGTAAGAAGAACGAAGCTCAAACCAATGCCAGCTCTGCTTTTAGGGTTTAGCACATTCACAGCAGATTACAACACTGGTAGAGAGGGGAGTAAGGAGTAGGGAGTGGGGAGTGGGGAGTAGGGAGTAGGGAGTAGGGAGTAGGGAGTAATTATCCTGCTCTCCTGCTGAGTTTCGGTAAACTACCCAAGTCTTTTATGATAGATCGGGAACAGTACAGGTTTCAAACAAAGGGAAAAACGAAAGGAAAAAAACTGTGAAAAAAAACTGAGAAAACTGAGAAAACTGAGAAAACTGAGAAAACTAAGAAAACTGAGAAAACTGAGAAAACTGAGAAAAGTTCAGAAAACAGAGAAAACAGAGAAAACAGAGAAAACAGAGGAAAACAGAGCAAAACAGAGCAAAACAGAGCAAAATAGAGCAAGATAGAGCAAAACTGAGCAAAACTGAAAACTGAGCAAAACTGAGAAAACTGAGCAAAACTGAGCAAAACTGAGAAAACAGAGCAAAACAAAGCAAAAGCTGCAAAACTGAGAAAACAGAGCAAAACAGAGCAAAACTGAGAAAACAGAGCAAAACTGGGAAAACTGAGAAAACAGGGGAGACAGGGGAGACAGGGGAAACAGGGAAAACAAAAACAGAGAAAACAGAGCAAAACAGAGAAAAACAGAGAAAACAGAGGAAACAGAGAAAACAGAGGAGACAGGGAAAAGAGAGAAGAGAGAAGAGAGAGAGAGAGAGAGAGAGAGAGAGAGAGAGAGAGAGAGAGAGAGAGAGAGAGAGAGAGAGAGAGAGAGAGAGAGAGA